TGCATGATGAAGTATTATGATGATGATATTAGCCCTATTAGTTAGTTCACTTAGTTCTATTCACCATTTAGGCCACTCAACTGGTGACTCTGATGCTCCAAGCTGCGCTTCAAATCGACGATGGTGTTAAGTATAAGCTGCTGCTTGCGGTTGCTACCGCCCACTGCCTGGCCCTTGGCCTCGTCAACGGTCACGTCTTGCATAGAGCTCTTGGCCGACACGGAGGCCGTAAGTTTAATTTGCGAACGCTCGTTCGACTTGCTCCGTCCGTTCGCATCTGTATTTTATTCGTAACGTAAAGGGGTCACCAATAAGCGAACATCAAATGACTTACCCAATTCCATGTCGAAGTTCTTCTTTATGCGCTCGAAGGAGGAGCTTCCCTTGTAGACCTTTCGCTTCAAGGGCTCGCTATGTGGGCAATAAAAGTTGTTGTTAATCTGTGACTCCGCATTCAATTTATGCTGTGTTTGGACATCCATCTTGATTTTCGTGTTCGACTGCTGCTGTGGCAAGTAGTTGTGATTGCCAATATCCTCCACAGCTATACTCTCCATCTCAGAATCACTGCCGTTAAAGCTGATCACCGTTGTCGTGGTAGTGGATGTTACCATCATAGTGCGTCTCTTGCCCTTTGGACTCTCCTGAAGGCGCCTGCCATTTAGCTGAAGCTGCGGCGAGAGTGGAGCAGTGGGAGTGTTGCCGTTTATCTTGCGTGGCGGCAGCTCTGGCGGCGCATTTTGATTCATGAAGTTGGTTAGGTGCGTCTTGCGAGGACTGCAACGCCCAAGCTTGGGACTGTTTGGTGGCGAAGAAGCAGACGTAGTCTCAAACTTTAGCATCTCTATGCGTTTATTGATTGCTGCGGCTAGTTCATGCTCTAGTGGCACTTGTTTTTTGGAGTCCACCTCACTGTTCTTGAGCATCTCCACGCGCTTATTGGCCAAGGGATTTAAGCGCCTCGGACTGGCGACGGGAGTGTCTCTGGGAATACTGTAAGTAATTTATTAGTGAAATCAAGTGGAAAAAGAAAAAGGCGTTTTTCACCTTTGTAAGCTGTTCTTCATAGACTCCAGCAAAGACTCTGCCTCCATGATGAGCTGCTTGTACTTCATATCAGCCTCTAAGTCTGCCTTGAGAAGAGCCTTTTCGCTTTCTGCGATTGTGAGTGTGTTCTTCTCATTGCAGCTGCCAAAGATCAGCGAATTAGAGCGGTTTGAGAGAGGGGAAGTCTTGTAGATCCTGCATGTAAAATTCTTTATAATACTGTACAATAAATGTCAAATATTGTATTCTACCTCTCCCGTGCACTCAGTAGATTACGGCGTAAGCAGACGGGCGTACCTCCCACACTTCGGGTTCCGCGAGGCTCACGGAGTGGCGACGATGGGAGCTTTTCGCGGTTTTCGCAGCTCTTCTTGCGGGTCTTAAGAAACCGCTTGCGACGACGCTGTTGGGAGCTTTCTCCCGTCTCTTGACCGCTTTTGCGGCGGGAGCGGGTTGAAGCCTTCCGCTTCATCATTGGACTAATCGGTTGATTCGAATAATAGTGGCAGCTGCCCAGATTGCGCGAATGTTCCTGGCGGTCGATTACCACCTCTTGCATGGAAGAAGTGTCTATAAAGTCAATATCCAAAAGCTCGTCCGTGTCACACTCATCACCCGCATCCTGTCCAGTATCCAGCTCCGAGGCACAGCAGTCAGTAATATCCGAGTCGCTGCTGAAATACGAATGGAAATGGAAGTGGAATGAGGAGCCCACTTAACATGACTTGGCGAGCAGTGGAGGACTGCAGCTCACCTTAGTATGTCAGTCTCCTTTTCGTAGATGTAGCTCTCGTCAAACTTCCCAATCATCTCGTTGAGTGTGGCCTCGTCATCACTGAGCACGAAGGAGATGGTGGTAGCTCCAGCTCCACCGCCAGCAGCCACAGGAGCTGAAGTTGTTGTCGTCTCCGCTTGCTCCATGTGACGACGCTTTATGGTGTGTGGGGCATGCAGATTTTCCACTTCAGTCGACGTCGAAGAGCCCTCGGACTCGTAAGCGACCCCAGATCCAGGTGCACCACCAGACCCACCCTCAACAGTGTCCACACCTGCCACTTTGGCAGACTTGCTAGGAGTGCCTCGGCTGTTGGGGGTGGCTGTATGAGGGGCTGCCTTTCCTGCTTTGTTTGCTGTTGTTTTGGCCGCCGGAACTTCCAGCTCATTGCTTGACTTAATGCCCGACGAGGTCGTGGAGGTGGTGCTGGTGGCATCCAGATCCAGGCGCGTGGGGCCCGAGGAGGCTGGTAAGTGCTCCCCCGTGTTGTACCAGGGATTTGTTCTTATGCGACAGCGCTGTCTCGGCGATGGAGCTGCAAAAGAGGGAAAAACAAGCAGAGTGGGATGCTACTTCAGTCAAGTCGAGACTCTAAATGGGTTAATTGCTCAGTTTGCCAGAAGGCGGGTTAACAGCACCGACACTCACATTCAAAAAGCTTGGGCTGCTGCCGCACTGCCAGTGGACTGGGCGACGACTCCAGGCCATGATTGGCACTTGCGAAGTTGCTCTTAGGCAGCGGATCCATGGGCGACATCTCTTCAATGCGGTTTAGGCCGAACTTGTAGCGCTTTGCCTCGATGGCCAACGAATTTACGCTCTTGGGGAAGTAGTGGGTTCCCGAGCGCATGTTGATGTAGTACTCGGGCGGATTGTAGTTGCTGGCGGCGCACGGCGATGTACCATCTGTGGAGTAGCCCGTGGAGTAGGCGCTCTCTGGCGAGGGCAAGCTGTGGGGCCTAGGTCCTGGCATAAAATTGCTGCGCTGCATTCCGCGGGGAGTTCGCATACGCGAACCGGAAGGTGGAGCGGGTGGGACTGGAGGCGTAGCTGTCAAATTGTCCAGAGACTCGCCAAGCTGAGCCTGCGCCAGCTTGGAGGGAAGCAGGCGCCCGTATCGGACATGGTTGTTGCTCTGCCTGGGCTCCTCCTCGTAGATAAGCCGCATGGCGCTCAAGTTCTCGGACTGCGGACGCTGCTGTTCCGCAATGGGGGCCGGAGGCCGGAGCAACAGAGCGCCCACCTCCTCGTACTCCACCTCCTCCTCTGGTGGGATGTGGTACTCCCCATTTATGGCCTGCTCCCTAAAAGTGGCTTGCTTGCCAGAAGAGGGTTCCTTGGAGCCTGTTGACCAGGACAACGACGATATGGAGGACGAGGAGCAGTTTACCCTGATAGGCGACTTCTCGGCACAGGAGTTGTCCTTGCTATTGGGCACACTAAGGTGGTGCGAAGGCTGCTGCAGCGGCTGGTGGGGCTGATAGCAATGCGGAGCGTAGAGCAGATTGTCCGACTTGGGTGAGGTTATGACGTAGGAGTCTTCGTCTGGGGATTGCCAGCCATATCGCCGACTGGGTGGCTACGGAAACATAAAAAACGTAAGCAGTTGGCAAACTCCCCCGTGGAAAAGCACTTACGTGGCACTGGATGGGCGAGACCTCGCGCCTCCGCACCGGACTGGCGATGCTGTGGCTCCCGCTGCTGGTCAGGACCGGACTGGTCAAGTTGCTTCCCTGCGGGGGCAGGGTGCCCGCCTTCTTCCCGGAGCAGGAACTGCCCGCTTCCGAGACCGCCTGCTTGTGCTTGCTGCCCTTCTTGCGGGGACGCACGATGTGCGTCTCCATCCAGGAGCGCAGCTTGGATCCAAACATAGTGCTATCCTTAGTCTTAACCAAAGTGGACGGATGGTAGTTGCTGAAAGGGAAGAGGTCATTAAGCTATCTGGCTGCAATTCAGCTGCAACAATGGAGATGGAGCCAAGCGGCCTCCAGGGACCACTTTGCGCTGATAAGGAAATCCATTTATGGGGGCACAAAAGCCGAACAGCGTTTCAGCAGGGTCACATTTTCAATAGTTTGTGTGGGGGATGGCAAGGGCTGTGCTGGCATTTCATGCGAAATTACCTTATTCGCAAATGCGGCAGACAACGTCGGCCTCATAATATCCTTTGCGCCTCCTTTTATTGTGGCGCCCACACACACTCTTGCAGCAGATGAAAGGGCAACGGTAAATCTACACCAGAACACACACACGGACTTTGTCGGCTTCCTGTGTTTGTGTTTGTTTGTTTTTTGTTGACGGTTATTTTTTGCCGTTTCCCGTTACGTTCAGGCCGAGTACCGACGCACCCAATGTTGTTGGGGGTTGTTCGTAAGCCGAGATGCTTCAAGGACTCCACTCCCCTTTCCACGTCCCTGTCGCAGTAACTTCTTGCGAGTGTGTGTGTGGGTGAGCCAGTGGGGTTGCCTGTGTGTAACTGTTCTCGGTTGTCGGTTGTAAATCCCACGTAACTGTAAATTTTATGTCCAGCTATTTTCCTTTCGTCGCAGACTCACATGCTTTACGATATTTTGGAACCTTTCTTGTATTGATGCGGCTGATTGGCAATATTCGAGCTTCGATTCCAGTCGCTTATGTATATTTGTTTTCCATGCAAATTATGTGAAAAAGGTTCTCGCAAATTATAAGGAAAGAAGCTCAGTGCCCTTCGGGGAAAGACTGCAAGTCCCGTTGTTGAAAAATGTTATTTTTCACTGGAACTCGGGTTTAAACTTTTTCTTTTCGGCGGCTGTGTATGGGTATGCGATGTATAAGTTTCGGTGGTGGCGATAAAAGCGTGCGGCAGAATTCAGTGAACCAAGGATGCGCGGACACGAACGGAAAACGGAAGGAGAACGTCCTGTCGCGTCGAAGGGAAAAAAGCTAATGACGGAATGCGCAGTTACGTAGGATTGCCAGGATGTTCTACTTGCCGTTACATTACTGGGTTTTCCGAGTCCTGGTAAAATACGACTTGTCAGCCATTCTGAAAGTTATTTTCCCGCTAAAACTAAAGATTTTCGGCATTTTGCCCAAAAGTAAGCTATTTAATTGGAAATTTAAGTTCTCCCCTGGCGCTTTGCAACACTGGCGGCACAACGCATTTGTGAGCACCAGCTGTGCTGTCCTACACTTCCATTCTGGTCTGGCAGCCCCACTAAATTATTTGTTAAAAAGAAAGCATGCGCTGCTACTACGAGGAGCTCGAGCTCCAAAGGGACGCCAACGATGGGGACATCAAGACCGCGTACCGCAAAATGGCCCTGCGCTGGCACCCGGACAAGAACCCCGACCGGCTGGCGGAGGCCAAGGATCGCTTCCAGCTGATCCAGCAGGCGTACGAAGTGCTCTCCGACCCGCAGGAACGCTCCTGGTACGACAACCACCGCGAGCAGATCCTGCGCGGCAAGAACTCCGAGTACACGGAGAACAGCCTGGACGTGTTCCAGTACTTCACCAGCTCCTGCTACAAGGGCTACGGCGATGACGAGCAGGGCTTCTACCGCGTGTACACGGAAGTCTTCGTCCAGATCGCCGCGGAGGACATGGAGTTCATGGACGAGGACGACCGGCTGGGGATGGCGCCGGACTTCGGCCACGCGAACAGCAGCTACGAGGAGGTGGTGGGTCCTTTTTACGCCTTCTGGCAGGCCTACACCACACGCAAAACCTACGAGTGGTTGTGCCCGTACGACGTGCGCGAGATTAAGGAGCGCTTCATCCTGCGCAAGGTGGAAAAAGAGATGAAGAAGATCGTCCAGGCTGCGCGCAAGGAGCGGAACGAAGAGGTAAGTAATTCAAAACTTTTGGGAAAATATCATCTAATCCTCTTCTGAACTCTATTAGGTTCGGAACCTGGTAAACTTTGTGAGAAAGCGTGATCGCAGAGTTCAGGCATACCGGCGCGTGCTCGAGGAACGCGCCGAGGCCAATCGATTAAAGCAGGAGGAGAAGCGCAAGGAGCAGTTGAGAAAGCGCCAGGAGGAACTGGCTGCCGTGAGGGAAAATAAAGTCTTTAACGAGGGCTACGAGGAGCAGCTGAAGCAGTTAGAACAGCAGTACGGCAGTGAGTCGGACGAGTTCACGGATGAAGACGAGGACGAAGAGGACGGCGAGGATTCGGACAACGAAGGTGATCCGGATGCCGAGAAATTCGAAGTGGAATATGTGGACGATCTGTACTGCGTGGCGTGTAACAAGACATTTAAAAACGCCAAGGCGCGTGCAAATCACGAGGAGAGCAAAAAGCACAAGGAGAATGTCGAACGATTGTGCCAAGAAATGGAGGAGGAGGAGGAGGCTTTCAACGACGCATCCCACGAAGACAGTTTGATTGGCGTAGAGGAGGACCTAGAGGAGTTCCAAATCGCTGACGATCAGTTATCCGGCGAAGAGGCACTGAGCGAAGAGGAATCTGCACTCACCAAGCGCAGCAAAAAGAATAAAAAGTCAAGGAAATCAGCTGCCAAGCCAGCGCAAGAGGAAGTCAGCGATGGCCCAGACGAACCCATAGAGCTGAAGGCAACCAAGAGCGAATCAGAAGACGAAGACTGGAGTAAAGGCAAGAAGGCAGCCAAAAAGAGTAAAAGCAAAAAGTCGTCGGCGAGCAGGGTAAAGCCCGCAGAGCAATCTGCTTCGGAACCCATCCCAAAAGAGGCCAAAGCGACTCCAAGAAGCGGAGATGAAGATCTCGACCCGACCAAGCCGCAACACACTTGCGTCACCTGTAGGCTTGTCTTTGACTCTAAGAATAAGCTGTTTGCCCACCTAAAGAAGACAAACCATGGCGTATATATACCCAAGGCCAAACCAGACGTCGAGGGAAAGCCTCCTGGCAAAGCCAAGGGCAAGCGCAACAAGTAGATCAGAGGGAGAACCCAGCGTCATCTGTATCCATACTGTAGAAAAGTTAGAAGTTTATTTATGCTAAAGTTAATTCAAGAATGAAGTTAAGTATGCTCGCTCTAAGTCGGAGATTGTGCTTATTGTGTCCGGAGGCAGCTACGGAATGCAGACCAGTTTGCTGCCCGTCTCCACGCGTCGGCGGACGTGGGAGCGCATATTGGAGGTCTCGGCCTTGAGGCTAATGCCTGCGGCGGCGAATGTGAGGACTATCCCGATGCCTCCGCAGTAAAATGAGATTCCTGTGGGGGGTTAGGGTTAGTTTGCTTCAACGAGGAATTCGTGTCATGTACCTATGCTGCAGTCGGCGGGGTAAAAGGGTTCCGCATCCGGACCGCACAGACGTTGAACTCGGCCAGCACCCCAGCCCATCGGATGCAGGAACAAAGCTAACATCACACTTATTCCTGGAAAGGAAATCTCAGTCGACTCCTGTGACATGTCATGGGTTCTTACCTGCCACCACCTGGGCGCAGGCCGTCATGTTGTGGATGCTCTTGCCAAAGGCCGATTGGCGGCAGCAGGTGAGCAGGGTTAGCAGCACAGTTAGCGACATCAGGCTGAATCCCAGCGAGACGAAGAACATGGCCGCCTTCCATTCGGGGGGATAAACGCTGCTATCCGTGGCCAGTCCGTCCAGGTCGAAGCGGCCGCAGTGGAACCCCCCGTCTTGCATCACCTTGCAGCGCGTGTATATGCCCACCGAGGATTGGCGATGCGGGCTGGAGCTGGAATGAAGGCTTTGGGTGGGGCCCACCAGCCACTTGGGCGTGACCAGGGCCACGGCAAAAAGCATGTTCGCCACCAAGGAGCAAAGGAACCATGCCAGACTGGCGCTGGTGATGATAACGTAACACATTTCGAAGCTAGAGATTCGCTGGATTTCACAGATTCAGCGGTCGACCTCGGGCGGTCGTAACGCGTCAGCACTTGCCGGATAGATAATAGACTCTAAGCGTTTCGGCTTTGTCTGGGCACGCACATCCCACACCCACTCCACAATCACCCACCACCACCGCCGCACCACTCGCCACCACCAGCAGCGCGGGGGCCAGAACAGAACTTCCTCCCAGCTGACCAGCCCGAAATGGAATTGTTTATTTTATGCTTTCGCCGTTCGCTGTTATGCGCTTGCCTTCTGCCGTCTGTTTTATGTTATTCACCCCACTCACACGCGCACAGAGGGTGGTTGGGGGGATTGGGGGAGGGCGAGGGAGAGGGCGAAGCGGTAGACCGCCCAGTACGCGGGTCGGTCAAGAACTCAATTCGTAGCTGATGTCGAAGCGAAGAAAGAGAGACGCGCGAAGAAAGAACTCTGCCTCGATGGCGTTTTCGCTAATCCCCCAAGCGGCTATTTGGCAACTTTGTGCCACACTCTGGATGTCTGGATCTAGACTTCCGCTGCGCAGGCGTCGCCGTGTTTCCCTACTCCGTCAACTCTCGTCGACACCGACCGACTGAATGAATGGGGCCCCATTAAAGCCAGCTGCACTCCAGACGGAGCCAGGCCCCAATTGCAGCACTGAAAGAAACGGTGCGGCTGAATTCACATTCGTTGTCTATTTGGGAAAGATCCAATAATGTAAGCGCTATCTAATAAAAATACTAAATTTTTATTTAAGGTGATTCTATATTGAATTAACCAATTTAACATCAATTTAATATTTTTAATAATATAAATTCACAATTCCAATTTATTTTTACCGTGGGTAATCATCCGTGTCTTTCAAAATAACGTATATCAGTTTTATAAAATGGCACTCAAAACCCGAAAGGTTTTTTTTATTGTTCCCTATTATCAGAATATTTTATAAAACAGGATTAGGATGACTCATACACATATTTCAATTCTTAGCACTCTTGATTCATACTGGGTTCTATCAACTGCAGTCCAATCTTTTTAATTTCCAACATATGAAGCTTCATATTTTAATCTACCAGACGTTAAGGAAGTTTGAAAATGTATGTAAAATGTATCTTTGTTAAAACTTTTCCAGTGTGGGCATGCAGATGTGGGCGCCTTCGCCGCAAAATTGAGAGCGTGGAAATCCAGACATTCCAGAATCAGTCCCCAAAGTGCTCTCCCTGGCTCTCTGCACACACGTTCGAGTTGGATTCGATCAGACAACTCCCCACCAAAACCCCACTCTCGCCTCCACCCCGCGATCGAGTGAGTAATGCTCCGTGGGACCCACTCGAACGATGCAAATGCTCTGATCATGTGTAATTCCGATCGAGACGATCTCCGGTCGAGCGGTTATCAGTTGGCCGTCCGCTGGGGGCCATTGCGTCATCCGCACTTTGTTTGTACACAGCGATCGTGACCGAGGCAGTAATGGGATCCGTACACAAATTGCTCCGCCTGCGGAAGGCACTTTCACTCTCACTCTCGTTGCCGGAACAGAATCCGTTGGGCAGATCACTTTTCGGCGACCAAGATGCCACTCCGGATGGTCTTCCTCCAGCTGCTGCTGTGGGCGGTGGCAAAGGGCCACTATTACTACGATTACGGCTATTGGGAGATCAACGAGCCTTCTCCGCTCTGTTCCGACTACGAAATGCTGGTGGTCAACACCCACCAGTGCGTAAGGCGCTGCAACATCATTTGTCGGGATCGCGTCTGTTTCGAGGACGGACCCTGTCCGTGTGCCGATCATTATCTGTCGGGAAACCCGGACGGAGTTGTTTGTGCCGCAGAGTGCCTGCCCGGATGCACGGAGGCGGGTGGCTACTGTGCTGCTCCAGATCTTTGTGTGTGCCGCAAGGACAGAACCCACTACTTCGATCCCCTGTCCCAAAAGTGCCGCCACAGGGCTGCCCGATCGCTGGACCCCTGTCTCGGGTAAGTTGAATCCTTGTGAGTGGAGTTTGAAGGTTTATATCCTTGGTCTTTCGCAGACGTTGCACCCATGGCACCTGCTCCTCCGACGGTCAGTGCGTTTGTGCCCAGGGCTACGAGTTAAGGGCGAGCTTGCTCCACGGTCAGCAATGCATGCCAGTCTGTGATCAGTGAGTTGGATTGTCCATTTCTAATTTCGCAATCTAACCCCAGAATTTTCCCTCAGCAATTGTGGACCCCAAGCCTACTGCTTCGCTCCCAACTTGTGCGCCTGCCGGCACAAGCACCACCATTATTCCCACAAGGGTATCTGTTCCAGGGACTATTGACCTTGGGAAGTCAGCTGCAAGCTGTTTTAGGTATCGTTGACGTCATCCGGTAGAACTCCCTAGCATTGTAAATGATGTTATAGGTTTACAAAATATTTATTTGAAAAATAAATTTTTAAGCATTAAGTTAGGTACAACGATTTCAGTTAAATATGGCGAACTACTTGTACAGCTCAGACTAGATAGATTAGAGCTTAAATAGAGACTGACAAGACAAGCATTACGATTTATTTTGTATGCAAATTTAAAGGAAATCAATAAACGCAAACAAACTTGAAGAAGTGTTGATATCAGCTTTGAAATACGTATCTCTAACTTCAGATTATTATAACATGTCTAGACCAAAATAAAAATCGGTAAGAAAAATGTCTTTCATTAAATTTACCGGTTGGAATGTTTGAGTATTTTTAAGTTCCAAATAAATGCTTAAAATTGAGCAAAAAAACTACGAATATATCGCAGTAAACATTTTTATAATCGGAAATAAATGTAAATATTTCAAACTGCTCAAAACTCATTAGCTTAATTACATTTAAATCTTAAGTCTTCTTTTATAAACAAATACATTTATAATAATATGGTAAATATGATTAGTCTCAATGGCTTCCGGAAACTGAAGTGCCCCACCTCACCTTTGCAGGGAAAAATTAAGAGAGCGCACCGAAGAGACTGTGTCAACTGGTTGTTGCCGCTCCCACCACGCCAAATTACAAAGTGGCTTTGTTATTGTTTATAAGTTTATACCAGATCGAACACATGGAAGGCCCGTCGTTATAAAATTGAATAAATTATATATGCAGTATCCGATCGGCACCAGATCGTCAGAGAAACAAGAGCTTGTCGAAGACATGCGTACGTGTTCTCCAGAGGCGTCGCCTGGAATACAAGGGGTCTCAAGCAGTGGTCGAAAATGTATGTTTGCTTACAAAAGTCCCCTTTAACTGATCAGCTGCTTTGTTCTCCGATAAGCCCTGAATTTTAAAGAATTTATGTTTTGCGGGGCCTATCAAAACTGGTGTATTTCAACTGACCCACACCCCGCCTAGAGGGTATTTCTAAGATAGCTAGAGCAAAGAAAGGCAGCGCAGTCCACGACAGCAGAGGCGGCATTTTTAGCTTTGCGCGTGTGGCGTGCTTTTCTTATACTTGTTGTTGTTCCATGGGAGGCGGGCCTCTTTGCGTTGGCGATGTCGCACAGTGGTAAAACTGAAAATGTTTAGGTTCGAAGTCCTTAAGAATTAAATTATTATATTGCAAATAAATTCCAGAAAACATGGAATCCCACGTCCAGTTAAGAAAAGGTGTGCTGATGTATGTAAAGTCTTATCCTCTTTAAGTATAAAAAAATGTATAACAAACATTATATTTAGGTTATGTTAGTAATGAATTTAACATTTCAACAAGTTCCACCACTCCAATTCGAAAAGTTCCCCTTAAATTTGGCTCCTTCTTTGATTGCCTTACATTTAGAATTCCTAAATTATAATAATCATTAGTCTCTTACAAAGGAACGTTTCCTACTGTTAATCATCACATAAGTAGACAGCCAAAAAAACAGAATATCGTTATTTTTTTATTTTCGCTTTATATTTTTATTTTTAATATATTTTTTAAAATTATAACTAATCCATATCAACTAGAACAAGACCAAGAAAAGAAAGATAAAATTAGTAAGATGGGTTCCACTGTGCCCGGCAGCAGCAACAACAACAAGGAACAGCGACGGGCGGCAGCACTCGTGTCCGATTGTTCTCCATCGCGTTTCAGTTGGAGTTTTGCTGTCCATCCGCGCGGTTGTATCTTTTCTGGAGCTCCTGTCCTGCGCACCATCTGAATCCCTGAAGAGCTCTTTCTCTTTTGCCGACTGCAGCAATTTGCAATTTTAATTACCTGCAATTCGGTTCGACCAGAAACCAAACGAAACAGGAAAAATGGGCCAAGCAAAGGTAAGCAGAATAGGAAGTGCGGCACACACGGGGAACAAAATATCGTATATGTATACGCATTATCCTTCGTCCTTGGCAAGTGGGCATCCCCGAAAAAGGAGCGTGGGAAAATCTATGTAGTTCAGCACTGCATTCTGGATTTGTAACAGGAAGTGCTCTAGTCCAAGCAATGCAATTTGGCAAGCTTGGAGATATTTTATTCAGTTTTGAGTATCAATTTGCGTATGTATGTGTGTTGGCCCCCGTTCTAGGGGTTATGTAAGCGCCCTCGCCAAGATGCTTCGATGCAACCGCATTGATTAAAGGCCGCCTGACGAGCTTTGCGTGATTTCTCCATTTACTGCAATGATTAGGCCGATTTAAGCAATTACTTGTGCACCTAATCACGCGCACATACTCCGATATATAAATACATATGTACTTATATGCCTGATGGAGGTGTAGCTGCTGCGCAGTTTGTGAGACACGCACGACAGCCCCAAAAACGCTATATTGGCAACAATAACCGACTTGGCCATTAAAAAGTAAGTGTGAATGCAGGAAACCGGTTGGGGCCATCCCATCTCTTCCCAGAAAGCGGTTCAGATCTTATAAATAAACGCTGTACAATCACGACGGATGAGCAGACGACGCGTGTGCAGCCTTATCAAGAAGTTGCGGGGGGCTTAGCCAGTGGAAAATATTTAGATGCCCGATAAGCCAGGCGATCAATTGATATTAATAGATCAGACACCAACTACATACATATATATGCACCACCTGTTTATCAGATCTCTAACCTAACCCCACTTCTCTGTCTCCCCGCCACACCCACCACTCCCACAGAAAGTTTCCTCCGCCCTGAGCAAGCTTTTCGTGTACGGCGCTCTCAAGTATGGACAGCCCAGCAACTCGATCCTGGCCAGCTCCGGCAACGGATACGCAAAGTTCTGGTGCAAGGCCACCACCACCCAGAAGCTGCCGCTGGTGATCGCCACCCGCTACAACATTCCGTTCCTGTTGAACAAGCCCGGAGTGGGCTATTACGTAACCGGGGAGATCTACGAGGTGGACGACCGCATGCTGAATTCCCTGGACAACCTGGAGGACTGCGAGGAGATCTACACGCGCGAGAAGCACGACATGAACATCGGCGTGGGCGAGGGGTGAGAAATAATCAAAGTTGACGTCACTCAGCGATCTGATCTGACCGGATTTCGTATCTTTCAGAACCGTGCCCTGCTGGGTGTACCTTCTGCAGAAGTACCCGGAGAACCTGCTCAGCCTGCGCTACTTGTCCAGCTACGAGAACTCCACCACCCACCCCTACATCATGCGCCACCGCCGCACCCACAAGCATCCGGCCCAGGACGATCTCACCTACGAGGCCCAGAACTAAAGATCTAGACTGTTGTCACCCCATCCCGCTTCACTGGATCATTGGATGTGCTCTGGACAGCGCGGCCACTGATCTTATGTTACCGTAGTTGCATTTCTAGACCGTACCTGCAGACGCAGATGTACTGATCGATATATAGCGCATATATTGGCAAATGATATACACTGATATGTACCATACGCATTATTTAGGTTTTAGCAAACGTAGCTTGTAATTTCATAGTTTTCGACAAACAAAGCAAATAAACTGAAGCAATTCAAAGAAACTCATGGTTCGGATCTCTTACATAAACAAGTCCATATCGAGGTACTGAAACATGATGTCTGGTACTTTTCCACGTCCGATTGTTTTCATTTCTCACTGTGTACAGAAGCAAGTTTCGGTGCGAATGGCGGCAAGAAGAAGAGCGGGCGGGTTACGTCGACTGGGCAATCACAGGCGGAATTGACAGCACAGCGAACGTCATAACTGATACGCCCGGCGGCGGGAAGCGCAGTGGTTATGCTCAGAATGTCGGCGAGGGTCTTTGTTTATGGAACGCTCAAGCGCCAGGAACCCAACCATCATTGGCTGACAAAGAAGGAGAATGGCCAGGCCAGGTTTCTGGGCAGGGGGAAGACGGCGGTGAAGTTTCCCCCGGTAGTGGGCACCCGCTACAACATTCCATTCCTGCTTGCCCGCCCAGGGGAGGGGAACCACATAGAAGGCGAAGTCTACGAAGTGGACCAGGCCATGTTTTCCAAACTAGACGAACTGGAGGACTACCCAGCTTACTATGATCGCGAGGAGCAGGCCATAGTGACAGAGCAGAATGAGTATGCAGGGACCGGGTAACTGCCATATGGGAGCTCTCACTTTCGACACTTCCCGCAGGACTATCCACTGCTGGCTGTACCTGATCCGCAGCTTCCCGGAGAAGATGCTGGCCAAGAAGCTGCTGACCTCGTACCACAACACGCCGGAGCAGCCATACAACGAAAAGTCAGTGCGCACCGTTCCGGCCAGAGAAGACCTCTCTTACTGACGCATCTTCCGCTTTTGCAGCTACCTGGACAGTTGCCCCGAGGACCTCGCCATGGATGAGTGAGACACGGGAGCTTATAAAAAAGTAACGTTTATAAACGGATTTCAACGCATGGCTATTATTCGTATTCTATTACATTGATTCCATACTTCAAAAATGCAAAACGAAATGAACAATAGTAGTTTGTGGTTTAGGGTAAGAGTAGCAGTGGAGGTATAGATGAATCAAAAAGCCTAGAAAATCTGCATGTGCTGGCGCAGAACCCGTGGATGACTTGAGCTCGGCAGCGGACACTGTGGTAGAAAGCGGTTTCCGTGGCCAGCAACAGCAACGTTGGCAGGAGCTGGACCTAGCTGGCTTCGTCGTCGAGCGACTGGAATCGGTTTGAGGCCGCCACCGGGGCAGTCGTGGACTCCTGGACGCGCTGGAAGCGGCCACCGTGGCGTACTTCTTCGAAGGCGGGTTCGTTTTTCTTCTTGCGCTGTTCCTCCGGACGCGCCGCACTGAGCGTTGGGAAGAACTCGGTGTTGGTGATGTCGGGGGCGGCGCGACGAGGACGCATGGCGCCGCCAATGGAACCACCTCCCAGTCCGCTTCCGGCCTGCTGCTGCAGAGGGATTAGGATTAGACTGGTTCTGGATCGATGGGATCTTAAGACTTACGCTGTAGCGTAGCGCGGGTGAAACGTAGGTCTTGGACGAGGGCTTCTCCACCTCCACGGGCACCGGGATCTGCATCACCTCCTCGGCCGGGATCACCTTCTTCCAGGGTCCGTGCCCGACGCGCTCCTTGTTGGGGTCCGCGTTGTCGTACCCATTGCTGTCCTCATCGTCCTCGTCGTAGTTGCCACCGTCCGGAGCGGAGGAGGGCACCCGAGCGGCCCTCGCCTCGGCGGATTCCTGGGCAGTTCTGGAATGGGCCGAAGAGCTGTAGAGAGTGGGTTTTCGCAACATGCGGGGTCAAAAGAAAGTTCAATGTGTGAAAGTGGCCTTTGTTCGCGCTCTTTGAACGGGTTCTCGGCTTAATGAGGTGAAAACTCACATGGTGCTCAGCTGGCCGATCTTCAGGCCGCTGTAGTCCTTGCGCTGCTCCTCCTCGAACTCCTTCCACTCCTCCTCGACGGGCTGCGGGGTGGTACAACAACAGGCGACCCAGTCACGTAATTAGTGGCCATTGGGCGGCGATTTCACCAGACGCGGACTGATACTCACCGGGGCGGACTCTGGCACCTTGGTGCCGCTGTTCTCGTTTTCGCCTACCACTGCCACGCCGCCAGAGACTGCCTCGGGTTTTTTTGGCTTGACCACTTCACGCTTGACGCCGTCCTCCAAGCTTTTCACCAGCTCGTCGGCGGTCACGAACTTGGTCGTCTTCTTGCCCTTCTTCTTGTCCTTTTTCGCGAAGAAATCGTCCAGTTCGGCCATGGCTTGCAATTAATTATAAATGAATAAAGATTCGCGACAGGAAATTTGGAGAACAACTCTGCACGCCTTTTGTGCCAGGGCTGCGGACTTATCGATAGGCGGGCCAGGGCTGCGGGCTCGGGGGAATTCACAGCGAAATTATGTTTAATTCGTGTTCTAACTAGGTCTTATTTCACTTGATTTCGATTTAGATGTAATTAGTTAAGTCTCTAATCTAGGTAAACGGTGGGTTCCGGGCCTTTCTTGTAACTAACACACCGATACATTTAGCATGAAATCGATAATCCTACCGTTGCCGGGCTTTTCAAATCCACAGTGGCGAACTATTGATTTATGGGATAGTATTGCCAATACTCGGGTGGCGGACTTTTCAAACACAAAGCCACAACGGAACTGAACGAAATTAATTGTTTGCAACAATATTGGCAATATGCATAATTAACGTGTGCAAAAATCACAGGAAAGACTCTGAATTGATTACCTATTTTCGCGACATTGGGCAACGAGCTATTTGCATAGGAGATTGATAACCACCTAATTAAGTCAAACAAAGTGGAAACCACCGCGGCGGTGGCTGCGAATGCAAAGCTGGACCATTGTGTAATGGAAACGGAGTCTGCGACTAATTTTGCATCCATAATGATGCCAATATGTCTAATCCAAATCAAAGCGACGGAGCCACTTAAGTTGTCCAAATTGCGGAGCTAATTGTCCCCAAATATGCTTAAGTGTTCCTGGGATTCGCATGTTTGGCCCCAACCGCACCTAAGAGCCCGAAAGATAACTATTTGGCCCAGTACTCGGCCCAGTCCCAGGCTCTTGGGCCAGACAGGCAGTTCCGCCTAGATTAGCCAAGCTAATAGATATTTATGTCTGTACCAACACCTACCCGGCCAAGCCAGTGGTTTTCGCTTCGTTTCGCCTGGGTTTGCCACATCCCAGATCGCGGCCAACCCACTCCGCAACCCATTCATATTGACAGCCACCGGGCTGGTCGCGTTCAGTCTTCTTTCGAGCGTCGCAGCGTGCACATCGGGTCTATCCCCCAAGCCATCTCCATTTCGATACAATTCGCTTCGATTCGATTCGAGCCGACCCGATCCGAACCGCTATAGTCTCGCATTAATTCGCGTGCGCGAGCTACGAGTTGATACAAATATCGCAAGTGTTTTAATTGAGGAGAATCCCAAGCACTCGAGGTAATTGAAACACTTGACTGCGCCAAAATGTTCGCTGGTGTCCAGCCTTGCACTCCGACATCATCTCGACCAGTGTCTCTTCCTTGCCTTTTTTGATTGCCGCATTGTCTTCGGCCGACCACTTTTCGGGGCAATTAGGCTGCAATTCGAGGCATTTACCTGCCCAGCGAAGCATTTAATTGGGCATTATAAAAGCCAGCCCCTCTAGATTCGTATCGCAATCAAGAGCCTGTCCTACTGAGTCTACGTGCGAGATACGCTCGTGAACCCGCGTCTGTGTCAGGGTCGTGTCATGACCTGGACAGGCGATACTTCAAATTTTCCGCTACGAGTTCCGTGATTTTGCCTGGCCCTTTGCATATATTTGAGCCTCGGATCACTGTAAGTTTTGTGTGTCGGGGCTTCATCTCATTTGTATCAATGCTGATCGAATACAAAGGCTATTTACATACTGAGGGGGTTTTTTTTTATTTAAATCTTTCGTGAGACTTCGCGACCAAAGGCCAAATGGGCAATGGAATGGAAGAATTGCCAAACATTTAAAATTTGTTCGATTTCATGGTTTAATGTCTCAGCCTCAAGTGGCTTTCTTAATGATCCTCCACGCAGCCATCTCAATCTTACGGCACTCGGAGCCCCGAAAAGGGGTCAGTGAGTCGTCCGACGGCAGTCAGTCAATCGCAATCACAGACACGCCGTTGCATTGGCTTTATTAACTGCAGACAGATTGGGGGCTGCACTTTGCATTGGAAAATTTTAATGGCCCCCATCATCGTTAGCCAGTTCTGAGGTCGCAATCGAATTGCAACAACAAAATACTACTTGGGCTAAAAAATAGCAATATGTAAACAAGAGGAACACACCATCGATAAACACAGCCACATACAAGCTAATTAAAGATTCGAAAATGTTTCTACTTACAACTGCCATACCGGTTTGGGCTCTAATAAAAATATGACAAACCGGAGGGGGAAACAAATAAAATAATATAAAGAGTCTTGACGTTTTGAATAGGGTCATTTTTTGCCCTTACGCAATACCTTAAGAGCTTTAAAAACACACTCGCCAATTGCGGGGAAGGTAAAATTGAAGTGAACACATTTTAGATTGGAAAAGGTTGTATGCTTCATAAGTGCGAATCGCTTTAACATACTGTATCCATTAACCATTATGCCAAAAGAATACAAAAAATACAGGAGTTAACATATTGCAAAGTGCCTAAGATCTTCTTAACTATTAAAATAGTTCACTTCTTCATGATTGATTAAATTTGAAGAGTTTAGTTACAGTTCGCTGACTCCCCTTCAGCTTTCTCCTCTTCCGCCTCTATATGGATCAAGTTCGTTGCCTAAGTCTTTCGTTTGCACTCAACCAAATGAAGCTTCGTTGTTTTAGGTTCAGTTCCAGCAAAGTGGTGTGTTATGCTCATGGCTTCGGGTTTGACAACTTGGCCGACCCGGCTCTCAAAATTTGGCTCAATGTGTGTATTCCGAGGCTTGCATAAGTGCAAGCGATCTGAGGTTGTTTCTCGGACTGTGGCGCTGGTCTTGCTGTTTTCACACATTCGGCGGACGCGTTTTAATTGGCCATAAAGCCAAATCCAAAAACTGGGGCTAAGTAACAAGCCCCAGAAAAGGCGGACGCCAAGAGACGAAGGAGAAACCTCCTACAGCTATGTAGATTAGACTGTGTAGTTCAAGGTGCAGTGGAGGTGCAGCGTCATGCTTCCTTGCGATTTCCATCTTCGCCAGCTGTGCTCTGCCGGTAGAGGTAAACACTCGCTGATGAAGATACAGTAATGGATATGGTTATGACTGGGCGGGGTGCGTCACACAGAATAAATAGGTAAACAAACACGTCCGCTCGGTCTTGCGTGAAATGTCATGACATGGCCAAAGTGCACGGCACAGCCACAGTCGGAGATTGCGCGCAGATGTGGCCAACTGTAACGCGGCTGCAATCGAAGCCATCCGCATGCAGATTGGGCAACGAATACTTGCAACAATCCCCGACTGGTGGAGGGGGCGATAAAAAGCCAACCTGGCTGGCGTGCTGGACGGGTTCGATGCCAGCTACCAGCTACCAGCAACCCCCGGCCGTTGCATAAGCCTGCAAAGAAATGCGAATCCACAGGCGCAATCGAAAATCCAAATAGAAACCGAAAGTCCAATGGAAACCAGTTTGCGGCAGGTTCAGCTCGCTGCTTCCAACTCGGTCTCCAGATGTGGCAAGAGGGGCACGCGTGGCCAGAATGAGCCCCAGTTTTTCCAGCACCACTTGCGCCACTCGCCAATCACTAGTTTTTCCTTTGACTGGTTTTCGCTTTCCCGGAATGCTTCTTGCGCCACTCCGATACGCCGTTCCCATTCCCAATCCCCAGAAGGTGTGCTAATGCAGCCCCATGCCCCCTCTCTTTGCAGCCAAGATGACGGTGGATTTGTCGCCCGTGCAGGAGTACTACAAGGACAAGACGATCTTCATCACTGGAGCGTCCGGGTTCATGGGCAAGGTGCTGCTGGAGAAGCTGCTTTACTCCTGCCACTCGCTCAAGGAGGTGATCATCATCTGCCGCCCGAAACGCGGCAAGGCTCCCGAGACGCGTCTGGAGGAGATGTTCAAGCTGCCCATCTTCCAGCGCATCAAGGACGAGCGTCCGGAGATGCTCAAGAAGGTGACCATTTACCAGGGCGACGTTACCTTTGACCGTAAGTAGAGAACACAGGGCCATCCTTTTATCAAGAGACTTCAGCACCTACTGCCGTCCATTTCCAGAGCTGGGCCTGAGCGGGGAGAGCCTGAAGCACGTGACCGAGAGCACCAACATCGTGTTCCACATGGCGGCCACACTCAAGCTGGAGGGCAACCTTCGAGACGCCATCGACATGAACTTGCTGGGCACCCGGCGCGCCCTCAACGTGGCCAAGGAGATGAAGCAGCTAGAGGCCTTCGTCCACCTGTCCACGGCCTTCTGCAACTGCGACCAGGAGGTGATGTACGAGAAGGTGTACGAGTTCCCGCACAAGCCCGAGGACCTTATGCGCCTGGCCGAGTGGATGGACGTGAAGACCCTGGACGCCATCACACCGGATCTGCTCAAGCCGCACCCAAACACCTACACCTACTCGAAGCGCCTGGCGGAGCTCCTAGTGCGGGACCACTACGAGTCCATGCCCGTCATCATCGCCCGTCCCAGCATCGGTAAGTGACCTTTCGGGCACGAACCCCATCCCTGTGTTGCCCCTCCGTGTTGCTTTCTTGCTTCGATTTACTCGAGTCGTTAATGCCCGACGCCTCCGGCTGGGGGTCTGCTTGCTTGCTTGGTGGCCAGCTGCGCTGGAGTCGAAATGGAGACTGCAATTGGGCAGCCGCCAGTCTCCCCTCTGCTAACTAATCATGCGCCTTCGCTTAAATCGCCTGTCTATGTATGTGTCTATGCTGCTTATTATTTATTTCTTTTTCGGCCACCTGGCGACTTTTGGCTGCCTGCGACGGCAGTCAATTAAACTTTTCTATTAGCAGTTTTTGGCCAACTTGAAAGGTCGTTATTTATAGGAAATAGAGAAACTATCGGGCAGAAACCTGTTAGCGCGGCATGATGCAAATCTGCAAAACCAAACACTTTTTAATTAAAACCGTGGGGTAGCTCAATAGTGGGGTATAGTACTTTCGGTCATAATGGCAGACTTATGTAGAATACCTAACAGTTATATTATATTCATTTCAGTAAATGTAGTAAGTCTTTGAAGTCCCGATTAAACAACTCGGTTAGGGGTAGGCTTGTAAATAGGTATTTCCGCTGACAGTTTCCGCAAAACTTATCTAATGATAGGCTAGCTTTATAGTGGAATCGGGAGGAGCAGATAGATGATTCGCTTGATGCAGGGCGGGATCAAGGCAGTGGTGACCCGCTTAGCTTGGCAAATAACCAATAAACACAGTCAATATGGAGGCTTGCTAACTAGCGAGCAAAGTTCCGCAGAGTTCGCGGATTTTAGCAGATCTTAGGAGATTTTAGCAGATGGTAATGAATGTATTTTGGGGAGAGGGCTGCTTTGGTGCTAGTCTTAAGCCGCTTCTTGCCGCCTACCGCTAATTCGTCCAGTGTTTTACGCTTTCCGTGTGTTTTATGACATCGCCACCGGTTCGATCTCGCGCCCTTCTCTCTGGGGCGGGCTCACTCGCTTGCCTCTTAATACGAACACCGCACATGAACCACAGCAGCAGCAATACAGATCCGAGCAAGCTACAACCGCCAACAACCTCCACAGTGCTTGAAAAGAAAAAGTCCGATTAAATGCATACCCATAGTTCGGCACAAGACATTGCTTAAAACAACAAACCACATCAACCACTGCACACAAACGCCGTCGTCATTGACCAAAAAGTTCAATGAGCATGCAATGAAAACAGAAGAAGACAGAAACTGCAACCAGCCCCCGCTTACCCCCGCCTCTGCATCCGCATCAGCTTGATCCCCGGAAGGGAGGAGGAGTCCAATCCCCGCCAGACTGAAATCAACTCCCGTCCGCCCAGTGTCGCCGTCGGCGTACGAGCCCGTTCCGGGATGGGTGGACAACCTGAACGGACCCACTGGTCTGATGGTCGGTGCCGGGAAGGGCGTCATTCGCTCCATGCTGATCGACACGCGCCACCTCTCCGAGGTGATACCGGTGGACTATGCCATCAATGGACTGTGCGTGATTCCCTACCAGATCGCCAAGATGACGGTACGGCCGGTGGAGGTGCCGGTGTACAACATCACGTGCGCTGACCACCGGAAGATGCAGTGGGGCGAGGTGATCGAAATGAGCAAGGAGATTGGGTACCGCTACCCGATGGAGGCAGGCCTCTGGTATCCGGACGGATGCATCACCACCAACAAGCTGCACCACAACATCAACGTGCTGCTCTTCCACTGGCTGCCCGCCTACTTCATCGACTTCATCCTGCTGCTGCTGGGCCAGAAGCGATTGTAAGTGGCGGCGAGGTCACAGTCACAGATCCTGACCTTTTCTCCCTAGCATGATCCGTGTCCAGAACCGCATCTCGGTGGGCCTCGAGGTGCTGCAGTTCTTCACGATGCGCGCCTGGTTCTTTAAGTCGGACGCCTACTCCTCGCTCTGGGACATGCTGAACGAGGCGGACAGGAAAAAGTACGTAAGGCGAGGGTAGCGGAGCTACTAAGTTGAGTTGAGACTAAATGCAAACCCCTGATCCCACCCAAAAGCTTCAATATGGACATGGATCCCGAGGAGACCGTCCCCATGTACATTGAGTCGTGTGTCCAGGGAGGGCGGCAGTACCTGATGAAGGAGTCGCCCGACAGCCTGCCGCGTGCCCGGCTCCAGCTGAAGCTGTAAGCGAGCCCCGCCCCCAGGTCCCAGAACTCAGATCCCTGATCTCAGAGCACTCCCCTCCTTTCATTTGTAGAATGTACATCTTGGACCGCGTGTGCAAGACGGTTATCGTTGGATCGCTGTGCTACTGGACCTACGGTTTGGTGGCACGTCTCCTGGGCGTCTGAGGTGACCCAGAGACCCGGTGACCTAGTGACCTGGTGACCCGGACCACTTCCAATTCATTTTCGCGCACTTTTCAATCAATCTCCGCTTAGATTCGCTTTGGGGCACAACTCCGGGGCTCTCGACGAGAGGCCTCGGACCTGGTTTTCATTTCTACTTTAAGTGATTATCTATGTTATATGTGAAAATAAAAAGTCTGCGTACTTAGCTTATGTGTCTGTGCTTCAAGTGTCCAAGTGTTGATCCAGTGCAGAGGACCATCCGCTCGCGAGACAACACGAACAACACAAACAGAACTACACAGAACACTGATGAAAGTCACACTCTATACCCAATTATTCTAAATTCGCACACTCATCTTTGGCTAAGTCCTAATCCCAATCACACCCACACCATACACACATTAACACACATAAACCGGCTTCGGTGACCATCATCCTGGGCTCGTGGTATGTAGACTGGTATCACCTGGAGTGCCGATCGAACGTCTCCTAGTAAACCCCTCTTCCATTTGCCCCCTAGTCTCCCCAGCTGCCTACGAGCCGCTGCCCGGATGGGTGGACAACCTGAACGGACCGACTGGCCTGATGATCGGGTGCGGCAAGGGCGTGATCCGGTCCGTCCTGGTCAACCAGAAGAACAAGGCCGAGGTGATTCCCGTGGACTATGCCATCAACGGACTGATCGTCATACCCTACGAGTTCAACAAGCAGGCCAAGCGTCCTGCCAACGTACCCGTTTACAACATCACCAACGCGGACCACAGGAAGATGACCATGGGCACTGTGGTCGAGATGAGCAAGCGCATCAACAAGCAGATCCCCTTCAACGCCGGCCTCTGGTACCCGGACCCCTGCGTCACCACCAACCATTACTACCACAACTTCAACGTGGCCCTGTTCCACTGGCTGCCCGCCTACTTCCTTGACTTCCTGATGCTGATCCTTGGCCAGAAGAGATTGTAAGTTGTGGCACTTAAAATGCGATCGTATGCCCTTCACATCCTCCTCTCTTTTCCTAGCATGCTGAGGGTGCAGGAGAAGATCTCCACGGGTCTGGGTGTACTGCAGTTCTTCACTCTCAATGCCTGGTGCTTCCGCTCGGACAACTACGCCTCGCTGTGGAGCAAACTCAACGAGGAGGACAAGGCTATGTAAGTGTAGATGCATTTTGATACGATTTATGGTAAACACTTCCCCCTTCCGTAAAGCTTTAACATGAACATGAACACCAAGGACACCGAGGAGGAGTACATGATTGAGTGTGCCAAGGGCGCCCGCAAGTTCATTCTCAAGGAGAAGGAGGAAGATATTCCCAGGGCGCGCGTGCACATGAATATGTGAGTCGGGTAAAAAACTCTGGCAATAGCCAATTGACGTGGGCCTTTGATTTCTTCCAGCCAATGGGTCGTGGACATTGTGTGCAAAACGCTGATCGTGGGACTGTTCTTCTACTACCTCCTCAAGTGGACGGGGGTGCTGGCTTTATTCTGAGTCCAGTTCCCGATGGACTCACATTGGTTTGGTGGTCACAGGCATTTATTTAGTCACTTAGCTTAGTTGTAGTTACGCATATTCGAGGTTTTGATTCCAAATAAATATGACCCTAGGTTGTTGAACTTACGCATATGGCACCTGCCTCGTGTTTCTCTCCCCCTACTTTCTCACCAAGGGTCGACTTTGCGGGCTTACCTGACGTCTTTTTTGTTCTCCCAGTAACTCCAGCTGTTGCTGAGCCCCTGCCAGGTTGGGTGGACAATATGAACGGGCCCACGGGCGTCCTAATTGGCGCCGGCAAAGGAGTCATCCGATCCATGATCTGCAATGGCGAACTCAAGTCTGAAGTCATACCCGTGGACATCGCCATCAACGGCCTGATATTGCTGCCGTACCACAACAGTCTCGCAGAAAAGAGGTAAATCTCACAGATGTTATCCATATCAATATGATGCATTGCTTTCGTCGCAGACCACTTCAGGTACCAGTCTACAATCTAACCGTGGACGATGCTAAAAAACGCACCTGGAAGTGGATCATGGATGTGGGTCGCGAATTGGGCATTAAGTACCCCTTTGAAGTTGGGCTCTGGTATCCCGACGGGAACATGACCTCCAGCAAATTCTACCACACCATTTGCATCATCCTGTTTATGTGGCTGCCAGCATACCTTATCGACTTTCTACTCCTGATCTTCGGACAGCGACGCTTGTAAGATCTTTAAGAGAAGTGAATTGGCGGAAGCAATTAGTCCATGATCGGCTTGTCTCCTTTTATTTCAGTATGATTCGGGTACAAACAAAAATTGCCGTGGGTCTGGAGGTGCTGCAGTTCTTCACAACGCGAAATTGGGACTTTAAGTCCACACACTTTGATCAGATTTACAAGGAACTAAGTGTAACGGATCGAAGAACGTAAGCAGTAGCCCTTCTATTATGTACTTAATATTTCTAAAGCAACATTTTCTCCGGGTAGATTTAAGATCAACACCAACGATGTCGACGACTATGAGTACATGAAAGTCAGCATTCTGGGGGGACGTCAGTATGTGATGAAGGAACCTTTGACCTCATTGCCCAAATCCCGCATACAATTAAGATTGTAGGTATTTTCTGACCACCACCAACACCTTTAACCAATCTTGCTTTAATTCAGCATGTATGTCCTGGACCGCATTTGCAAAACGATGATCATTTCTGGCCTGTTATACTGGGCTTCTCAAAAACTAGGAATCCTCGATTTGGTTCGAAATGGAGTGCAGTCTAGTAAATGAGGATTCGCTTTATATGAACACGTTTTTAATTATTGTACCTTTATGTTCACGTGCCCTTGCAAGGTTTATTTTGTAAATCAGGTCAAATATATTCAGGTGTTTTGTATACGTTGACTTGTTTTTGCAAGTCGTGTTAATTGTAAAATAAAATAAAAAAAAACTGCATTAACTTTTAGTGACAATAAAAGGGAAGCCGTTGTATAATAAGTATAATTTTTGCACTGCTTGGTGTACCAGTCACAGTAAATAAAAAAAGAGAACACGCTATTGTCGATGGCCTCGGCTATCAGATACCCGTTTACTCAGCTAAAGGGAGTGCGAGGAAGATACACAAACAATTATTTTTTGAGGGACATGAACGACCACTGGGTACAAATATTAGAAATATTGTTTTAAAACAAATGCAATTTTAAAAAAAGGAGCTGATAATTAATCACTTTTATGGTTGTCTTATTTTTCCAAAAGCCAATCGGTTAGTCTTAAAGTTAAATGTTCATAAAGGCCTTGGAACAATCAAATTATATAAAATGTTCATAGAGCGAAATACAATATTATTTGACTGTATGCAGACTTATTTCAAAGTGTTGTTTGAATTTTAACAGTGGGAAAATTGTAAGATGATATCTAAGGTGTAAGGCTACGACGCCCCCAACCACTGTTTATCAGTAACTTGCTTACATTCTTTATACATTCATAGGATTCACCAGCACCAGGTAGGCAATGTTATCCTGTAAAAAATAAAACTATCGGATTTCTATTTTATTTACAGTCCGATTAGGCAACAACGCCCCCAACCACTGTTTATCACTAACTTGTTCACATTCTTTATACATTCATCGGATCCACCAGCACCAGGTAGGCAATGTTATCCTGTGAAAAATAAAACTATCAGATTTCTATTTTATTTAGAATCCTATTATGTTTTTGGCGCACCTTAATAAGCTCGATTTTAGCTAGAAGTCTGCGGGGGTTAACCAGACTGAAAAAGTAGGCTTTCAGAAGGTTAAATCTAATCGACTCGGCTAATGGTCCTGATCAAGAACATATATACTTTATGGGGTCGAAAACGCTTCCTTCTACCTGTTACATTCTTTACGACGAATGATTATACCATTTTACTCTACGAGTAAAAAGCTAAGAAAAAATCGAATTTTTGTCAAAAGTTCAAAATCTTATATTTCACCCAAAAAAATTAGGAATTTTGAATACCATAGCGCGAAATAATTTTAGAGTAAGGAATGCCATACACCGTTGAACTCGTTGTTAAATTCCCTATCGATTGGAAATGAAAACAGCAAGCTTTAATTTTTGAAGATTTTCTGCAATATGAACATGAACATATTTTATGCCAACATCTAGGCGCTTTAGGAATTTAAAATAGAATTTTCTTGACGAAAATGATCTGCACTTCCGAGTTTAACGGTTAATTTCTTGCTCTTTGACACCAGGGCAACATAATCCGTAGCAGGTGGCTGCTGGGCGCTAACATTTTCTTACTGGAAGTCAACCGTTAGTTTAGAATAAGCAGGCTAGAGGTGGGCAATCGCTTGATCGGCAACAAAGCCCCCACATATTTTGATGTGACCCACCTCTAGATAGGCCTTAAAAACTAATCGTTGGCCACCTACTAACTTTCCTGTTCACCTGGTGTTTGAAATTGAAAAATCGCTAGTTTACTTTAGTAAATTAAAAGGATCCATAACATATTTTCTGTCAAAATGCTGGATTTATGGCTCTCAGACACCAGGCAAACAGAAAACTTAGCAAGTGACCGCTGGTAGCTAAAGTTAAACTTAAATAACTGTCCATTTCCAAAATGGCGGCCCTTTCCATATTTCCCCTTCCCCTACTGACCAATAGGAATCTATCACCATGGGAAAAAACCGTTAGTCGAGAACAAAGCGCAGATTAGAGATGCTCTACTATGGCCGTGTCACGAGCTTGTCACGATATGCACGAAATAAAATGGAAATCCTATGCATTTGCATAGCCCGTGCCAAAAGTAAGCAGTCACGAGGGCATCTCCAATTAGCTTCGATTAAACAAATCAGCTGATCGTTTCTCCACCTGCTAAACGTTTATGTTCGCCTGGTGTCTGAATTTAAGTAATCTAGAAATTGGACAATTTTCTCTACAAGCAAATAACGTATTTTGGATTTATAATTTCTATTAAAGTTTTAATTTAATTGTAGGAGATTTTGATTAAATTTTTCGGGCATCTAAACTGTGGGCGCCGCCTTTTCGCTTCTAGAATACAAATTGTAACATTAATGTATTGGTTTCGTCAATACCTACTGATTAACTTTAAAAATTGGAACGCCCACAAAACTAAAACAAAAGTTACCAATAATCGTGCAACAATCATATATTTATGATATGTAACTGTCAGAGTCCAAAAAAAATAACAGTACTTAAAAATTGTATTTATTGTTGTCTTACTTCGACACACATTTAAGATATATTTTTAAATGTGGCGCAAACCTCCAAAGTATGCTATAATTTATGGTAGTGGCGATATATCGATAGGCACGGCTCTGTTAAGTTAACAGGCGCTCCTCTGCTAGCTTTCGTTAATTTTCAATTTTCGTTAATAGCCCGCCACTTTGAAGATCGCTTTCGGGGATCGGTTTAGTCGTTGGCTGGATATTCACGGATAAGGTAATAATCGCGGCATTGCAACGTGCGTTCCGTGTGAAGGGGTTGAAGTATTTTGAAAAGTGTTTTTGAAAAGCCCCAATAAAGATCTGCAAATCGAATGAATCACCTCATTGATTATGCAAATCAGTAAGGTTTTGTGACAAATCTTAGCTTTAGGATGATGACTCGCGGTGAAATTAAAATGTTTTATTAGTTACGGCGAATGAATCATGTGTAATGCAGATACAAAACCGCAGTTGCAAAGATCAGCTCGGCTCGGCCCACACAACAAAAATATCCGCAGTGAAAACAAGTTTTAAAACATTTAACGAACCAAGGTTAAAAAACTGCAGAAAACGGCGCCCTCGGCGCAGTCGCAAAAAATATAAAAACTCCGCTTTGTTTTAATGACGTCTAGAACAGCTAATAAATTGATTGAATTGCATTTGATAAATGATTAATTTGGAATGTATTCGACCTGTGACATCATCGAAGATTTAAAAAGCGATTTTCAAATGGCTGGTGGGTAGATCACGAACTGGTGTTCCGTGCCCTAAAAGGCAACGCCTCCGGTGGCCAGCTTTCTGTGAAGTGTTCAGATTGTGGAGCTGTCCCCAAAGGCAACATAAGCGGAAAATGTTCTTGCTGACCAGGCGTGTTCAGAAAGTGTCGTGTAAGACCAGTAAATTGAGCCCAATGTTTTCCCAACTGGGAATTGTGTTTGGTTTGGGGACAGTTCCCGCTCTCCAAGCACCCCCATTTGCATCGAATTAAGGCGTCTAGTGTTTCCTTCCCCCTCCAGAATCGCAATATTTGCATTTTTTATTGCCAATTACAATTAAGTAATCCATCGATTAGGCGATATGCGGCTTGTTAATATCCCCTCTCCGGAGCCACAGCCTATTTACGAATGCATATACCGTCCGTCTGGATTCATTCGCTCGCCGATTTGGCTCCGCCCATCAAGTTTTGTTTATTCGTTTTCTACTTTTCGCGGGGCCCAGGGGCGTAGATCCAAAGGGGACGAAATGGTTATTGGGTCTGAGCCGATTGGTAAGGGGTCATTTCTTCTATTGGGGATTCCAGCCGGTTCTTCGCACCAAATAATTTTCGGTCGTTTTCCCGGGTTGATCTCACTCAAGTATTATGTACGTCCGAGTGTTTAATTAAATTATTTGAAATTACTGAATCGTGCGGGGCTCTGCTTTCTATCTCCCCACCCCGGACTCCCCTTCCAAATCTTTTGTTGTGTACACGATGTGGGCCAGTCAATTGTTTATGAAGTGCACAGTGGGTATATAGAGCACACATCTCCATGCGACCGGGGGTATCCACTTTAGTTGGGCTATTGTCCATGTGTCTGTGAGCTGTTCGTTTAAACATTTTTTCAGTATACAACTAAATTCTGCTGCTGTTGTTTTTTCGCGGATGCTTCACAAACCCACTTCACCATGAAGTCAGCCCCCGTCCACATCTATATAGAAATCTACAGCCCCATCTCCGCACGCATCCATCTTAATTATGACTTTTTTATGATGACACTTTTTGGGCTGAGCTTGGTTAAAGTAGTGTACTCACAAAAACTCCAGTTGTGGACTGGCGACCTCGATCACGATCGCTGTTTTTCTGCCGCTCCTTAGCAGTCGAATTCAGATATATACTTCCCTTTGATTTTCCAGCCTCCATTTGAAGGGTAAAAACAGCAGAGCGAACGTCTGTTGTTCATTAGATGCAGAAAATTAACTAAATTAAGTAAACAAATTCACTGGCAATAAACAGACTTTATGGACAAGTAAATTAGTTTATTATTTTCCAAAATCGCCCACTCATCGAACACTGTTGGGTCGAGAAAGCATTCACGAGGCTGGAAATATTGGCACCCTATTTGCTAAGGAATCACGCATGTAGCAAGCAAGGAACATAAAAATTAATTTCAAGAGTTTAGAGATATTCCGGGGTGGCACAGAAATATCGTATGCTCTTACTTATCCAGTTTATGGTGTTGCTAAGCTCTTGTTTACGTATTGCTCATTGGGAGTGAGTGAAGTGAAATGGGAGTGAGGAAGGAAAATATCTTCGGCATGACGAACTGTATATGCCCTATTCTACATATGAAAGATAATAGTTAGGAATTTCTGTAAAAATATGATTTCGCGGAGAGTTCTTTTCGTAACTTGGATAAACATGATCATAAAACTAAAACACTGACTGATTTTTGCGGCTAAAAACCAAAGCTAACGATTCCCAATTATTTCTGGATAATGCATGCTTTAGTAAATTTTCGCATTTTTTATAAGAGGTTACCTGATTGAGCATTTTATTATGAGTTCACTGAGGCATAATCCATTATAGATGCAATAGCCGCATCGTTTGTGCAAAATACCTTTTTTATTTGTTGGAAAATCAAGATTATTGGCTGAAAATGATCCTAAAACTAAAGAACTGAAAACTTAGCCTAACGAGCCACACTATTACACTAATACTTCTATGCTACACAGCTACAGGCTTATTTTGAAAAATAACTTGTATAGTGTAATTTCCGTATTAATCATCAGAGAGAGTATACAAATGGTAGCCTTGATCTTTAAAGCATTCTTAAACTTTCTTAGAGTATAGTTGCTATTTATATCTTTGTCTACCAGATTTGTATCATATGCAGACCAAGTGCACATTTTATTCGATTTTATTTCTTTGAGATCCGACGAAAAACCTGAGATCTTTGCAGCTGAGAGTTGTGCAAAACGTCCATTAAGTGCAATTGCATGCTTGTTTTTTGCTTTGGCTGTGCAAACCTGATCGACGAGTTTTCTTTTGGCCAGTCTCTTAGACTGTTCCACACCCCGGATGCTGCGAAGAATTCGGTTCATCGAATGGCTTACTCTGGAAAACGATTCTGCTAACTTCTATTACGCCATTCTGTCAACTGTCGCCTAAGACTTTGCCTGAGCCGCGTAAACAATAATGTTGTTTGTCAATTGGTTTTACAAATAGCCTGGTGGCCAAATACACAGCACAAACAGAGACTCCAAACAGTGGGCCAATTAGGGAAGGTGATTGTGCGATTCTGTTTATCTTATCAGGCCGAACTTGCCACCTGGGGGTCATTTACCATACCCAATTTGTTTGGGAAGCCAAACGAGTTAGGGGAAGAGCCACCGTTAACGGCTGAGTAGATGTTTCCTGATTACCAATTCTTTGACCATTGACAAATAATCAGCAGTGGCGTATGCAAATTTCGAGTGTGATTAGCCGATTTCTCACACATTTCAAGTATCACAGAGAAGAAACGAGAATTCCCCAGAAGATACCGCCTTGAAATTTACGCAAGAAGCCGCCTATAAATCTTGCGATCTCAGCGCTCCCATCGACTGAGCCGCCCCCAGGGCTCCACTGAGGACCACAATACAGAAGAGTTATCAAAGCGTAAAGCGCAACAAATTG